TTGACATGGAGAAAAGGAAGGTCCATCGGGCAGTCGGGAGGTTTCCTCAACTCACCTTCTGAGGCTTGTCCTGTGTCATGTTCCTGTCACAGCTCAGCACTCAGATCATTGCGCCATCATTGATCACACTCAAAGCTCTCTGTGTGTTGTGTTGAAGCCCAGAACAGCAGCACAGACCAGACTATAGTCCCAGCTAGCAGGGAACGTTCCCATAACATTGCATCATGTACCATACAATTCAAATAATGTAATTGTTGGAGGAACATTTCATTTGTAGCATAGCAGTGATCCCGTAGTTTCTGTAGTTATAATGCAAGCCACAGTGAATAGCTGAAAAAGTACATCAAGTACAAGTACATACGACATTCAAACATTCAACATTCTTCCACATAAAACATTTTCTTTATGGATGATCTGTCTTTGTCATGCTTAAACTGGAAACAGATGAACACTATTGGCTAAATATCATTGTGTTCTGGAGTATTAAGATTGCAAGTTAGTTTTTTGATACTTTGAACCATGAATATGCAGTTGAAGATTTGAAAGGTGTGATGGTTTATCTGTTTCTATCAGTGTTCTTTCACAGAGACCAGACTCTCCTCAACCCAGTTGTGTATCCATGAAGAGTGACCGCTCTATGTTTGAACCTTATGACTTCAGAGATGAACAGCACTCTTTTGAAGAAAGGTAAGAATTTAAACCAGATGAGTTTGTCCTTAAAACAGAAAAGTGCCTTGAAAACCATCAGAAATCATCCTAGTTAGATAGCTGAACAAGTAAAGATACATAAACGATCTCAACTGACTCCTTTCAACACAAAGAAAAAAAGTTCTTCTCTGTGTTCCTTTCAGATATCTAAGGGACACACCCTGTCTCAAAAGTTAGGAATATAGATGAATGAATGATGAGGATGAATGAACAAATAATCAATACACTGCCTGCATTCATGCTCGTGTGGCACCAATGTTCTTGTCAATCTTGTGCTCCAGCTTGCCCTCACTTGTGAACCACACTCTGAGATACTGGAACTGGAATCAATCCCAATGTACCATGAGTTAGACTTGACTCCGATTATCTCCACGTCACACTGCAAAAGTCATGAGATGCAATCTTGAGGTGATACTCAAGTCCATACTGGACTGTGCCTGTTGATTTTTTCTATATAAACTTCAATAATTTCAATTTTCAAGAGCAGAATAAGCAAAATTTGGAACAATGCACAACCCTTGTGGAGAATCCAGACCAAACTGTCACTCCAGAGGACAGAATGGCTCATAGCATTGGCCTCAGTACTCCACGCTCTTGCATTATCCCCAACAAAATACCCCAGGGGACAAGGTCATAGGCATCTAGACTTTTAAGACAGCTGAAGAGTGACAAGTAAGTTGGTAGAGAGAGGGGATGACACACAGCAAAAGGCCAGGGTCAAACTCCAACCAATGGCCACTGGGAATGGGGCAGCAGCTCTATCAGGGTGCTAGGGTGCCCCAAAGACACTTGACTTAATGAGAAAACTTTTGTAGGATGCTTGCAAGAGTTAAAAGCTGGCTATGAACAACTAGGATGGAATCTGCATTTCTCTTCTTGAATTACAGATTTTACCAGATTCTCTTTTTGCACTGTGTCATAAGCTTTCCCAGGGTGTGTAATGTCATGCCCTGATAGATGGAGCACACCCCCAGCTGCTTTTTTTTTTTAATGGGACACCAGTCCACCAGTCTAAAGGCACTATGTCTAATTAGTGCTATCCCATTTCCTGTGTGCAACTGTCCTAAAAGCAACATAGCTAAAATGTGTATCTGTTGATCATCCAATTGCTTCCTGTTTTCTCCAGAGTTCAGCAGCAAACATCAAGTCAGTCTGTCCAGCAGCTGGAGTCAATATTTATGGTATGTAAATGTCCAACCACAACTTTCCCCTCCAAAAGGCTCCCAATAAAATTAACACACACTTTATATTATTATTCTATTCTTTTCCAGCATCTTGAGGAGAACATTGTCACTTTTGTGAAGAATGAGCTGAAAAACATCCAGAAGGTTCTTAGTCCAGATTACCCAAAATGCTTAGAGAGGCAGAGTGAGGATAATGATAATGAGGCGGTAGGTGAGGATGAAGAGCAGAGGAGGAGTAGCAGAGGGCAAGCATTCTTAAGATCACACTGCACTATCCTGAGGAGAATGAAGCAGGAGGAGCTGGCTGACCGTCTGCAGAGCAGTAAGAGGATTTTAACACTCAACTTTCCTCATATTAACACTAACATCCACTCACTGATTGTTGTGTTTTTATTCAGGAACTCCTGCTGCAGTTTGTCAGCGTGAACTTAAATCTAACCTGAAGAAGAAGTTTCAGTGTGTGTTTGAGGGGATTGCTAAAGCAGGAAACCCAACCCTTCTGAACCAGATCTACACAGAGCTCTACATCACAGAGGGAGGGACTGCAGAGG